AAGGAAACGATGTAAGGGTACCTGGTGATGCGATTGAATCCGGACTGTCGACGAAAGCTGCGGCAGAATTGGGATTATTGAAAGGAACACCGGTTGGAACCTCGTTGATTGATGCACACGCCGGTGGTCTTGGAATGATTGGATGTTACGCATCAGATGTGTCTCCGAATTTCTCCAACCGATTGGGTACGCAAGATGTTTACAATATGCATTACGCAGTTAAGAAGAAAAAGAATTAATATAAAATATGTTGTAATTTTTAGCTTTGATTTGCGGCACTTCAACTTGTCATATGATAGTGAATGAGAACAAGATATTTGTAAATGGCGTTTGGGGCCCGTACTACAGCGCGATGGTACCCGGTTTCTGGCTCAATGAGGGCGGTCAAAGTGCTACCGGAAAACTGCTCGATCATGTAATTGATACGCACCCCGCGACACCAGGAATCCTGATGTCTTTGAGCGGCAATAAGTGAGTTCATCAGAACAAGATTATGAACAAATGTACGAAAACGAATTTATTTCAGGCATATTCAACAGTACTTGTCCGAATTGTTGCACGTTATGGCTGAGCAGAAGAATCTGCAGAACGTGTCATATCTGACGAAAGATATACATGTATGGCCGGATTTCCATGGTAATCGTTCGCCTCTTGCTGATCCAACATTGAAAGGAATGGTATTCAAACACACGTTCTTTCAATGAATTTTATATTGATATAAAAAGATGGATACAATTTTATACTATATATATTATTTATTTATATCGTAGATATCTGGATTATCTTTATCTGTGGATCAAGAAAACCTAGCGTTATTATACTTGGCAACGGTACAGGCACTAACGGTACGTTAAAAGCAAATTAAAAATATTCTAATTCATTAAAAGCCATAATGTCCAAAGATTTTATCTAAATCATTGTCTGCACTATTTTATATATTCTGTGTGAAAATACACGAATATTTTTTTAAAACTAATATACTTTATTAAAATTAGATATTACAAGTAATTTTTGTTATTAAAATCATCTTATTCACAATGAGATTTTAGTTCAGAAAATAAAACGTTGACTATTAAGCATTAGCAGATAATTGATAAAGTAATATATTTTCTAATTAATATTATATTAATTTTTAGTACGGTACAAAGCATATAATTGAAGTATTATCGACGGCCGGCCATAACATAGAGAGTATACTAGTTTGCGGTGGACTCAGTCAAAATCCACTGTTTATCCAAATACAAGCTGATGTGTTGGCGTTACCGGTACTTTGCCCCGTGGAGCGAGAATCGGTTTTGGTAGGCGCAGCGATCCTTGGAGCATGTGCTACGAAAAAATATTCTATACATGAGACTATTCAGAGAATGGCGGGATCGGCGAATATAGTGAAACCGACGAGCGAATGTTACAAGTAAGCAAACGATTAATGAGTGCAAAAGATAAAGGAATAGTTAAAGATATTGCATTTTGTGTTTTAAATTTGATGGAATACAAATTAACTTTAAGTAAAATATTTCTATATCATTATTGAGATTTATGACAATATTAAGTGATTGTTTCTGTATTATTATTTTTGAGGGGTATATATTATTATTTGAGATTTTTATTTATAATAAAAAAGATATATTAAACATTTTTGCATATATATA